CATAGGTATATTTTTAGGCAGTTATTAACAATTACCATATTAATAATACCTCCGTCATCAAATCTATAAACATTTAATTTACTAAAATTGAAGGTCCAATAATTATAAACCCTCTCACATGCATGGAGAAGAAAAATGCCTTAATAGATTGCTAATAATCTCTACCGTCTGAAACAAAACATAACATAATAAAAAAATATGAATATTGTGCACTGGAGGTATGTTCACTACCACACATTACCATTCTTAGTTCAAACTTATTCGTTGCAGAAAAGAGTTGGATACCACTTTCATAAAAAGAACCTTATATTATGGATCACTTGCATGGAATTTTATTATCCACAAGTCCACAACTTTTGTTGGAAAATGAATACTAAAACTATGATTTTTTCTGCATAAAAAGCACAATGCAGTTCAATTATTTCTAGAACACAGCCATTCCCAATTATAAAATTTCCCTACTACCCCAAACTACGCAAAATCATTTATGAGCTTCTTAAGGAGACTAACTATTAGGAATAAGCAGTTATCACAATAGTGATAAGATTTCTCTACTAAATAAACAAAGCATCACATACAATCAACATCACTCAAACCAAACTCAGTAATTGAGCTGATATCTAGCTATATAAATCTATTACTCACTCAAATACAACCTTTAAAACATCTTTTAACATGGTAGTGCCTTTTTCTATGGTTACCTTTAGAACGTGTTTGAAATACATATCTTTAATCATCATTGTATGGAAGCTCTAAGAAATTGCTTTAGATTGGTTTGTATTATAAATAAGACTCGCACATTTGTCTCTCCAAATCTCAACAATATCTCACCTGTCGTCAATGTTGGTACTTGGTATTCTTAACTTAGTCTTAAGTTATTTCCAATTGCCATGAGTAATAATTTCATGAAGAAGGCGAGTAAGAAGTCATTTTTAAATAATAATAAAAACAACAAAAAAGAAGAAGTTTGCATTTAAAAAAGATGTCTTCAGCCCAATATCTTATCTTTCCTTGGGTTCAATTGCCACAGCTTAATGAATGAACAATTAACTCACTATCCCATTTAATCCCATCAAGTGATGAGAACTATCATGTAAGTTTTCAGCATCTAAAGAAGTTATCATATCAATTATCATCCTAACAAATTACAAAATGTTCAACTGCTAAACTGTCCATACAAAACTACAGTCTTTAGGCAGCTGAAAAACATATCAAAAATAGGTCCTTGAGAGTGGAAGTATAAGCGCAGTTCAGATTTAGGTTTATCAGTCTATTGGCTAAAGATAAGAAACCTTTTAAGCATAGCATCTATGAGTAGCATGCTAACAACAAGCCAGATTCCCCATGATAACAAACATCACCTTCTCATCAGCTAGTATTTATTGAAATTATTTATTACCTTTGGATACACTCGTTCATCTTCTAGTTTTCCATCTAAAATCAAAAGATTGGCGGGGTGGCTTTAATTTGTTCCTCTAGGAGGAAGTGTAGTCCATACCTCTATGCTAGGGATGAAAGAGGGATGCTGTCAGAGCATGTCTTCTAACCCAATGTGTGAGTAACACCACTCTTTAAATGAGCTGCTAGTAGCAAGACCGCAAAAGTCAATAGGTACATCACAAATAGAGAGATCTTGAAGGTCTGCCATGGAAATGAAAAAGTACATCCATTAGAAAAATTAAGAAATGAAGATGCATGCATTCATCATCATCAACAACACATGAGAAAGTTTTGTGAAAATAATACCTGTTAAGATTAAAAGAACTCCCAAGAGTCAATCTAGAAAATAATACCTATTAAGAAAACCATGCACTTTATACTACTCCATGACTGCCACTTGAACATCCTGAATAAGTGCAGAAAAATAGAACTCCCAAGAGTCTATCTGGGAAGCAACGTATATATATGATCTAAATCCAAGCTAGAGAACCTCGGTCATTAGTGCCTTGATCGAGATTAAAATTCAACAAAATATTCCAAATCAGATTAAAAAAAATCAACGAAATATTCCAATGAGGGTGTTTGATATTTTCCTTCTTGCTTAATCTTGTTTTAAATGAAAAGCAATAACTCACTTTAATAGACTGTTTCTTTAGAATTTTAGAGGAGAGAAGACCGTTGATATTTATTCTTACATCAAAATGCTAAGGTAGTTCAGATTTCAAATAAGATTTAGTTCATTCACAACTTTATTTGAGACTATATGCTAACAACATTTGGCACATGACCTCATGCACAGTTTTATTTGAAAGCATACAGTAAGTATTTTTTGAGTAATTAAGAAACCTACTTCTTAACCTATAGAATCATATAGTTTTTTTACACAGCCAGGAAGCACAACTACTGTGTGACATTCTAGGATATACCCTGAAAATGGCTAAAATAGATGGTATAAGGATTTAAATATTCAACTCCTTGAATTACATGGAATTGTGATGAGAAGAAAGAAACCATTTTAGTAGTTAAAACTACTTAATACTACTTCTGTGAGTCCATTTAGTAGTATAAAATACTTCTAAGACTCTGTTTAGTATCTCAACTACTTGCAAAACCACTAAACACAACTTTCTGGTGTCACCATGTTCGTGTGACCTATATTAACATGACATTCTTAAAGCCCACAAGCATTTCAATCTAACCGTGTTCAAATCTCAGGGTGTTTAAAAAACAGAAAAGAAAAGACTAAATATAATAAACTTAGAAATTTACATCCCTCAAGAAACAAATCACATGGCTGCAACTTATGATTTCACCGCCTTTTTATTGAATATATGTTGGCATAACTATCAGTTAATTATGTTGTTGAAATGAAGTTGAACTATTTAACAAGATGATGTTTGCACTGATACTTAACAATAGAGTATCAACACTTGTAAAAATGTAAAGTTAGTGGCTAACTTCTTATTTGATGACAATTTTTATAAAGTTTGTGCCTGAAGCTTGCAACCTGACTTTTATGGGTATGCTCTGAAATTTAGCCAGAAAAATAAAAAGGTATGGAAACCCCACCATCCCAATTTATATATCCCTGCTTATCACCTATTCTCGGTAATGCTCTAAGTATCATTTCATTCTATCCCAAAGATGAAATCAATATTAGACGAAGTTTCCCAAGACTATTGGTGAATGAATCTGTGATTATCATTCTTAAAGATTTCATAGCTGCACTTATTCTTTCATAACTTAAAAACATGGGGAAACGGGTTGGGAAGAAACCTTTTGACCCAAATATAGTGCAATTGAGTAAAGAAAGGTGAATACGAACAAAAACAAAAACATGGGGAAGCGGGTATAACACATACCAGGAAAAGAGTAAGCAATAGGCTGACTTTTATCAATTAAATTAATTTTCTCCTTTCCCATGTATGAAAAAAATTAAATTACATTTTCATATTAACAGGGAAATACTGTAAAAGCCGAAATGCTAATGAAGGGATAACCAATAATCATTATTCAATATTTCAATTCATGTTAAACAAGCATTCACATTGAGTTACCAGACAAGCATGATGTGTAGAAGAGCGAAAGGGGTTTTGGATTCTGGTAGTAGTCGAGCAAGGCATCTGCGAAACGGGCGAAGAGCAGATTGATCGATTCTGCGAGCGCGAAGAGCAGAGAGAAGAGGCAGAGAGACTTCTAATTCGGGATTCCCTTTCTTTGGTTCATCATCATCTCGATTCGAACTCCACAATTCCCTATAGCGGGGACCAAGAGTCGAGGTCTGGCAGTCTGGCTAATCAGCTAGCCGGTCATAGGGGGGTTGCGCGGGTGACAGGATGAGGCAACCCTTGAACACTTCAGGGAACGACGACAAACTGCGTTTCTTAACGGAGATGTACGCACTTGGAAAAGGAACAAATAATTAAGCACATAGTACAACGCAAGTAAGCTATAAAGATCCACCAACAAATTTTTTATACCTAAATTAGGCTTACCTGCATTCATGCTTATTATTTTGTAAAGAAATGTTTCTCGGCTTTTCGTTAAAAAAGCTAAAAAGAGTGTTTTCAAGTGACAATTTCTACTTAAAAAAAGCGTTTCTCAACTTTTGGCCGAAAAATATTTTTTTACTTTATCTATTACACAAAAGGCACTTATTTTACCAAACACGATCAACTTTTACTTTTCAAAATCACTCTTTTCTTAAACACTTTCAACTTTTTACTACTCATCACTTTTTCCAGCATCATTTAAAGTGTTTTTTTAAAACAAAAGCATTTGCAAACACTTTCTTAGTCTAGGCCTTTATCCGTCCAAAATCTCGTAAATCTAACACAAATTTAAAAAATTAACGGGGTCTTTGCACAACCACACCATTTTGTCAGAAGCGTATACCATACAGCTGGTTGTACGGCTGACACCGTACAGCCGGTGACAGTTTTGTAATTTGATGAAATATAGAGATGTGTTTGTTTTTAAAGTCCTATGTTTTCTTCTACTTCTTCTTAATGTATTTTCATCATCAAGAATATTACGGAAAGGCATATCTCCAAAAAATAACAAAACAAGAAAAAATTGTTACTTGAGTTATGGTTTCCAAAATACATTAAGGGTTGGTTTGCAACTGCTTTTAAAAAAGCACTTCTCAGCTTTTGGCTTTAAAAAACACTTATTTTCCCAAACACTACAACTTTTATTTTTCTCGGCTTCCGCGTCAAAAGTGCTTTTACTTTTTCTATTACACAAAAAGCACTTATTTTACCAAACACTACCCACTTTTACTTTTCAAAATCACTTTTTTCTTAAACACTATCAACTTTTATTTAATCACTTCTCCTCATTTCATTAAAAAAAATACTTTTTTAAAAGCAGAAGCTGTTGCAAACAGACCCTAAGTAATGGTTAGATGATTAGGTAAAGTTCAACATCTCTATATTTGATTTGATGCACAACGATTGTGCAGCTTAAGGATTGTCAATTGTGAGGGAAAAGTGGGCTCCAGCCCAGCCCAATTTGTTTTTGTTAGTATAGGTATAGATTTTGTTATCAGCCCACCCCAAAATTAATTCTCAACCCACAGGCCACAGCTCAGCCCCTGACTTTAGAAGAAGATCGGAAGAAAGAAAATCGAAGAACCAAGAGCTTGGCAGCTTGTGACGACCGGCGCTCCAACCTGTGACCTGCGACCCTTCGCCGTCCACGCCGCTTCGTCTTCGTCCATCCAGACTCCAGCGTCCTTCCTCTCTCGCCTCTCAGCTCTTCCTCCATCTCTGGCGCAGGTGAGTTTTTTTTTTTTTCTTAATGTATTATTTTGTGGTTGTGTTAAGACTGTTAACTTGTATTATTATTTTTAGCCTTTAGAGTGTTAGGGTTAGTCCGTTAGTTAATCAATTTAATTATTAGTTGAATTTTTCAGTGCATAATAAAACAGGGCAAAAATTCACCATAGATTTATAATGATTGAAGATGGAATTAAATCTTAGAGAATGATTTATTGATTACTCAATTGAAGAGAATGATTTATTTGTTGTAAACAACTAAAATCAAATTCAAATATAAACAACAATAAGCAATAAAATGCAACAACAAGAAACACAATGCAACAAAAAGAAACAAATATAATGCAACAAAAAGCAACAACAAGAAACACAATGCAACACAAAGAAACAAATATAATGCAACAAAAGCAACAAAAGATAACATATAAAACAATCACAATACATATATAATTCAATTTATTACATTTATCAAGTATGTTATTTGGCTTTGCTTCTTATCATATTCTCTTTTAATACACCTTAACACATACTTCCTCATATTTGTCTCTCTTGTCTTCTTTTCCTCATTAATCCTCCTAATGATGTTATCACCTTCATGCGCCTCTTTTACTCTTATGCATCTGCAATAAAAATTCAATTACATAGTAATTTTCTATAACAATTCACTTCAACACTGGGAAGTATACAATTATTAAAACTGTAAAAAGTAAGAATATGATTGCTATGACGAGACAATTAAAAATGATTAACAATTAGTTTCCCTTTTTCTGTAACAAATTTCCCCAATGTTTGCAATAAAAAAATAAGCTACTATAAAAAACAACTTATAATATGCTGCACTGGTAATATTTATAATCACAAGGTCTAACCTCTCCCAAAGTTTCGCTACCGAAAATGAAGCTACAATAAAATATTATTGAACCTGTAATGCTCCTAATCATACTGATCATCAATCCATAAGCAAGAAATAAGATGACCTGAACTATATATGTTCTTCCACCTGATCAAAAACATCTTTAACTGCTTGAGAGTAAATTTAACATCTGGAAGTCCTTTAACATCTTTTAATGCATCACTTTTCTATAAAGTTAGCATCTGCTTTAGAATACTCCCTCTGTCCCACTAAGATTGTTCCATTTTACCTTTTCGGGAAGTCCCACTAAAATTGTCTCATACCAAATTTGGTAAAGTTTGTGTGGGTCTAAATCATTCCTACTTTATTCTTACTTTATCAATTTAATATCAACCACACAAACTCATTTTTCTTAATTACCGTGTCACCTTCTCATGTCCCAATCTTAGTGGGACGGAAGTTGTCACGCTCCAGACCGCGTCTGAGCGCGTGTACAACCGCCGTATGACTAAATGACGTCACCCGCGAGTCAACGTGACTTGGTCACACAAGGCGTCCATGGACATAGTCCATACCATACTCAGTAAGTAAACATACATAACAACATCACATATTTGGATTGAATGAATAGTGGAAATATTCAATATTCAATCATGGGCCACACATGGCAAAAAATGTAGGCACGCAGGCCCAAAACAAATGTATTTATTACAAAGTATCCATGAGCATAGTTTATAGTTTAAAACAGTAAAGGAAGCACGAACCACGTCTTCCTTTGGAACTCTTCACCGAGCAAGGTGTGGATAGCTAGCCTTAGCTTCAACCTGAAATGGTGGGGCCCCCCCGAAGGGGTCAGTACAAGTACCGAGCGAGTAGCAAGCTAAATGTAGAATAACTAACGTTTCAAGTATAAGACCCAAACATAGGGTGATACATATGCGTATAGTCTTTTCCCCAAGTTTTGAAATACATATTAGTATATATACACTTGGAAATACCCGGCCCGTAGGTCATTGTTTATTTGGGAAAACAATAGAAGCCAATGTCCTTGATTTTAATCCCAACCCACCCATATACCTATGAGTGTATAAGACTCCTCCTTGTTCAAATAAATTATCATAGGAACACCACCCGGTCCTAGATTATTAAATGTAATCTATGAGTTTTGAGGATACACGCCCGATCCTTGGGTACTCTACCCTATAACCGAGTTTTGAGGATAACCGCCCGATCCTTGGGTACTCCACCCTATATAACTGAGTTTTGAGGATAACCGCCCGATCCTTGGGTACTCCACCCTATATAACCGAGTTTTGAGGATAACCGCCCGATCCTTGGGTACTCCACCCTATAACCGAGTTTTGAGGATACACGCCCGATCCCTGGGTACTCCACCCGACCTATGACTTACCACATATCTCACTAGATAGGGTCTATATCATATTATTACGAAAGACTAAACCCAGACTTAGAATTCAATCAATAAATATCAACCTTGACATTTAAATATCATATTCCATGCAATTCCATGCACAATATACACACATAGGTTGTACAGGGTCAACCCCCCTTCGAACCGGGCCCCGATTCGCGTTTTTGGCGAAAACGCAACATGGAGGCAGCAGCTTACCCGGCCCCGGGTATGCCCTATACCCGGCGCCGGATATGTTCGGAGTTTTGGGTCAACGACCCGTTGACCCCCGAGTTGACCCCCGAAACGTGATCCGTTTGATCCGAAATTTTTATACAACTTATATCATGTCTAAAAAAATCAATAAATACCATTTTGGCCATCCAAAACATCACATATGTTTTTATATATATATTTTCTACTTCCCACATGCATAATCATGTAGTTTCATTCACATAAGCCTAATCACCTTGGCTAATCACATGCTTAAACTCTTTTAAACATCATTATGAATACTTATAACATTCATTTAGGTAATCTCATACTTAACCCAAGAGTTATAAGACATTAAGCCGTCCACTCACCTCGAATGAGCGTTATGAAGTTCTACCCTTCTTGGTTGAACTCCGATGAAACTCCGGCGAACTTTGATGAACTCCGGCGACAACTCCGGCGACTCTTTCAACTTCGTGAAAGTTCTTAAATCACCCTTTGGAAGTGCCTAACAAGGTTTTATCATCACAAAACCCAAATCAATACAAATAACCTCCAAAAGGTTATTTTCCGGCGAACCGGTCTCCTTGGCTTCTAAGTCCGTTCTTGGACCTAGAACTACCTTCCAACCCTTCATTCCACACTTTTAACATGTGGAACTACTCCAAGGGTATTTCATATGATCTATAACTCATATGAAAATCAAAACATTGGAGAAAAGTTGTTCAAGAGCTTCTTACCTTTCTTCCCACGGTTTTTCTCTACTTTTGCAACTCCTTCTCCTTCCTTGAGTTCCTTGCCCTTGGAGCTTTCTTCAACAATGGAGATGGAGGTTTTCAGAGCTCACTCTCTCCTTGGTGTCTTGGTCGAAGTTGGGTGATGAGAGAAATGGGGTGGGTTCTCCTTTTTGGCATACTTGCCATATGAGTGTGAGAGGGGTCCCTTAGGTGTCAAGATGGTCTCCCCCACCCCTTCAAGGGTTTTCAGCCCCATTTGCACTCAATCAAGTCTCCAAGAATTGACAAAACTGTGGGGTGGCCCCCACACATGTGGGAGGTCATCCCTTTGTGTCCCGGTGTGTACAATCGACCCCGAAAGTTGTATTTCTCGGACTATTTTAATTATATTTTATTTTATCGGGTCAAATAAAATATATTACATGTCCATAACTATTATAGATCTTAAGAATGAGTGTACATTCCCCAACTTTAATTTAAAAGTCTCCGAAATTCATTTCGGACTGTTATCTGAAGAAATTGCCGGTACTGGTAATTGGGCCCTGTTTGACAAACCGGTCAACCCAATGCCTTTCTTATGGCCCATTATGAATGTCCACCACCATGTAACTATTATCTAGACCAAGATGAATATAACATGTGGTCTCGTGTTATCGGGTTACCCCCGCTCCGAGTGTGGGCCCCGCGTGGAATTTTACTCTTCACGCAAAAGAAATAACAAAAATTTACAATCTCGTAAATTCATTACTAGATACGCCATGTTCAATACATAATTTTCATAAAGGTAAATATATTTGGGGACGGTGTTACAGAAGTAGTATATTTTAACACCTGGAACAATAAATTAAGTCTCATATTAAGTTTAACACCCTTGAAAGCTATGTATTTCAGGAGCATCAAAGCCTCATATATCCACTTTTGAAAAAGCAGATCCTAGCAAGACCAAATGGATATAGGTTCATCAAATACATCACAAACATGTTGTTCTCCCTTTCTTTATCTAAACATTAGCCTACTGATTGCAGCTTCTGAAAGCATATGACCTCATGAAAGCTTCTTAGAGTCTGATATTAACATATCTACTTCGGAGCCATCGTTAACTACACTCACCCCCAATTCTGATACAAATATGTTAAATAGTCTCTCTCAGTCACAGTATGAGAATAGTCAAATTCTGCTATAGACTGGGTTGCTATTTACCTTAGTTAATCATGTAAATGTGAACATTAAATTCCTCATCATTTTTTTATAAATTTGGACAGCACCTGAGCCAACGTTCACTTAAAAGTTAAAACATAACAAAAAAAAACAAATTTCAATGAATCACTATACCATCATATAATAGCAATCACACTATTCTGGAGGACCTTTATTGTCACATGAAATTTTTATCTAGAAGTATATTCAACTTGTATCACATTTAAGGTACGGCGTGCAAAGTTTGCAGGTTTCTCTTTGTTATTAATACTTAATATTCTATAATAATATAACTGCAGCAAATGTAGCAATGAAATAAAGCTTCGAATATTTGGTTTACCAACGTGCAGTTTAGATGAAATTATGAGTTTGCAGGGATGATTGCCAATACAATTCATCAACACTGCAATCCTATAAATAAAGAGACTCGCCAAAAATACTAAAATAGGAGCAGACCTTTCAAAACTAAGGAAACATAGAGAGCTAAATGATTAATAGAATAATAGTGAAGAAAATTTAAAGGTTATCTCACTTGATCTAGTAGTGGAGTTTTATCTTCAATTCTCCTAATCCTCAGAAGAAGCAACACCACAACAATGTTTACTGGAGTTTATCTCCAAAGTCTCACATCCCCTTTATGAGTAACCTGATTGCCATAAGCTTCAGCAAAGGTAGGACTGATTTGGTCTTCCATTCATAAAGGGGAAGAGCAACTTGTGCTTATTGATACTGTGAAGGTCCACCCACCGCCATTCTATATATATCTTCAAACCCAGCAATAACAGAAAGTAAACAAATAAATCAACAAATTCATAAGTGTGAGGTATCTGCAAATAAAAATCAATTTGAGTTGAGATTTCTCAGGAGTTAAAGAAAATTAAAAAAAATACGAAAGAGATTAGTGAATATTTATATAAACACATGTCATATCGTGTGGAGTTTATTTTGAAGGAAGAGAGAGCAGGTTGGGGAAGAGAATCAATTGAAATTGATGCAACCTTCCTAAACATAGATAGATTAATGATTAATAGAAAAATAGTGAATAAAATTGAAAAGTTAACTCACTTATGTAGTAATGGAGTTTATCTTCAATTCTCCTAACCCTAAGAAGAAGAAGCTCTACAACAATGTGAATTGGAGTTTATCTCCAGAGTACCAAATCCTGGATTTGACAGAAGATTAACTGAAAAAAGTGAAAAAGTGAAATTAAGTGAAGTTAGTTCGATGAAGGTTAACACATAAGATTATATTTGTTCGGTTTTGTAGTGAAGTAGTGAAGTCATCAGTTTTAATTCCTCTACATTTGAGAAGCATTCAAAAAAATAAAGGCTTAGCAGTTTGTTCAAAAGCATACTACGTACTACTCAGCTACAGTCTTAAACAATGACTCTACTCTCTCTTCCGAGCCTGGAGACCACTAGATTGATTGCTTGGTTTGCAAATGACGGTGGGATGAGGACTTCGAAGAGAAATCCATAGGCGATCCAATTCTCTAAGAAGAGAGTGGAAAGTCGATCCGATCTCCCGTCCATATTTTTTCACCAGAAGTGCTGATGATCGGAAATCTCCCATACGCCTCTCCCAATATTCTCTAGTTATGGAAGACGTTAGCAGACGTGGCTACAAGTGAAATAAAAAAACAGAAATTGAAAACCCAAAAAGTTAATAATGAAAAGAAAAAACACTTGGGCCATTAATGATATCTTAGCGTAAAAGGGTAGCATACCCGTAATTACCACGATTTTATATTTTTTCCAACAAAATCTCGTTGCTCAGCCAGGTAGGACGTACCGACGGAGCTGGTCATCTCTTCTTTGCCCGCTATCCATTTTTGTTGGCGAGTTGGAGAAGCTGAAATCTCCGATCCATTTTCCGGGTTGAAGAGCTGCTCTGTATTAGGGTGCAATCGTTTAACATTGCTTGAATAGAACATGAGAATACAAAAAAGAAAAAAGAACATTCCCAGTGAGTAACATACCTTTGCCTTTTACCTTTTTTCCGCACTATCTTTATGAATAAAGGACCTTTGAGCAGGTTAAGCAGGCTTTGTAGCTCCCACATTTAGGGGACCTGATAATTTTGTGAGGTGCATTCGGAATTTGAAGTCTGTTTATAAGTTTTAATGTATTCTTTAAATTTTCTTGTGCATAAATGAGTTGGAAATGAAATAAAAGTATGTGCAGGCTGTAGCTGTTGTATGATATAGTAACTTATAGATGTGGTTGGATTGCTGGAAGCTGTTTGGAGTACAAAAAATAATGCCCCAGGTCTGAAGTTCAATTTTTTTTTGCTACTTTGAGTAACCCTTTAACCTTGATTGAACTTAGTTCTTGCTGATTGGGGTATATTTTAGTGGAACACGAAATAATTTGCAGTATGGAACCTGGGAATATAGTCACATACTACCTCCGTCCCTTAAAACTTTGCCAAGTTTGACCGGCACGGAGATTAATAAAGTAAAAACTGTGTGGTAGAGGTTTGTGCAGAGGAGAGAGAATTAACAGGAACCACAAATTTTTTACTTAAAAGGGAAAGTGGCAAAGTTAGTGGGACATCCAAAAAAAGGAAAGTTGGCAAAGTTTTAAGGGACGGAGGGAGTAGTTCGCAAAACGCTTCAGTACGGGAACGAGGATCGGGATTCGGGAACACAGTTCGCTAGGTCTAGCGTATCCAGTCGGAGGGGTAGGTTCAGTTCGGTAGGCGTTCGGTACGTTGTACCTTATGTTTTGGTTACAATAGTAAAACAGAATTACATATTTCACAACATTATGCAAAAACAGATTTCATATCATTAAACCAAATAAAAAACATTAATATTCTAAAAACATTTAACGCACAACTGAAAAACAGTACCAAAAACATTAATTAAAACATATTATAGAAGACTGGAGTACTGGAGAGTGTTTGGCTTATGAAATAGAACATTTTCACTCAATCTATAAGAGTTAGAATGTACAGTTGATGAGTTGGATCAGAAAACGAAGAGGCTGGTTTGAACTTCAAAATCCAAACGCGTGTAGAAACGTCTGAAAATGAAGAGCCCGTGCAAACCTTTGAAAGCCGCAAGCTGAAAGGAAATGATTCAGGGTTCACTGGGGAAATCGTTTGGGGCATATTTGACAGTTTTCCATGTTGTTGGAAACTTTGATTGTCCTGCTCTTGGTTATCTATCTCATTTGGTTGGAAATTGGATAACAGGAATCACATCTCTCCACCAGGAAGTATACAAAAGTTCTCCTGTTTACAATACAAAAGGTATAAACAATCTCAAATTTTTATTTACTCATTTTGTTTAATTAACCAAATCAAACAACGATGATGATAACTTTTTTATAAATGTAATAAATCAGGTGCCTAGAAGACGACTCCACAGTTGGAGTACTTTTTTTCTGGGGAGTCGTATTGTTTTGGCGAGGCTTAGCTAACTCAGGTGTCCTTCTTTGTCGAACTTGCACCGGACTATGTTTGGAGGGAACGCTGCAAACTTGTCTCTTTCAAAAGTTGGTGAAATTGCTCTAAAACTTGTACCCAAACCACCTCAGGGACCCGAACCAAAGTTCATATCATTATTGCAATTATGTAATACTCCAAGGAACCTCGAACAAATTCAAACTCAGATCACAGTACGAGGTCTTGATCAAGATGAGTACACAATGCCTCTTTTCCTGCTGAAATGTTTCGAATTAAATCAATTTTGTTGCGCTCGCCAGCTGTTTGATCAAACTACCTACCCAAGCTCTTACCTCTGGAATACTATGTTCAAAGGGTACCTCCTTAAGAACCAGCACAGAGAGGTGCTGGTGCTTTTTCGCCTTATGAGGAATGCAGATGAGAAGCCGAGCTGCTATACATTCTCCATTATTTTGAAGTCTTGTGGGAGATTATTTGCTCTGAGAGAAGGTGAGGAAGTGCATTGTGTTGTATTCAAGACTGGACTCAGGTCTAATACATTTGTGGGCACTACTCTGATCGATTTGTATTCAAGAACAATGCAAATCAAGTGTGCTCATACAGTGTTTAGTGAGATGGTTTTGAGAAATGTAGTAACATACACTTCTATGATCAACGGCTTCATTGAGAATGGTGATTTGACTACTGCTAGGAGGCTATTTGACTCGGCACCGGATCGAGATGTTGTCTTGTGGAATACCATGATTGTGGCCTATATTGAGTGTAGGGACATGACAGAGGCTAGGAAACTTTTCAATGTGATGCCAATGAAGGATTTGATGTCATGGAATACCCTGTTGAATGGCTATGCGAAATCTGGGAATGTTGAGGAGTGTGAGAAGCTGTTCAAAGTAATGAAGGAGAGAAACATATTTTCTTGGAATGGTTTGATAAGAGGATATGCCCATAATGGACATTTCGTCGAAGTTCTTTGTGCTTTTAATAGGATGTTAACCGTTTCTGAAGCTCAACCTAACGATGTCACTCTTGTTAATGTGTTGACTGCTTGTGCTAGACTAGGAGCTCTTGATATGGGCAAGCGGGTGCACTCTTATGCGGTGAGCATTGGTTATAAAGATAATATATATGTTGGGAATGGTTTGGTTGATATGTATGCAAAGTGCGGGGTGATTGAAAATGCAACTGATGTTTTTATCAGAATGGAAGTTAAAGATTTGATATCTTGGAACACAATTATTAATGGTGTGGCGGTCCATGGTCAGGCAGTTGCTGCCTTGATGTTATTTAATCAGATGAGGGATGCTTGTGTAAGACCTGATGGAATAACTTTCATTGGTGTACTATGCGCTTGCTCCCACATGGGTTTAGTCTCAAAGGGATTTGACTATTTTCAATTGATGGTCAATGAGCATTCTCTTGTGCCTCAAATTGAACACTATGGCTGTATGGTTGATCTTCTGGCCCGTGCTGGCCATTTTGAGCAAGCTGTGGAATTTGTGCATAAGATGCCTATGCCAGCTGATAGTGTTATATGGACCACATTACTTGGGGCTTGTAGGATTTACAAGAAAGTCGGTTTTGCTGTATTGGCTCTTCAAAAACTGACTGAGCTTGACCCAAATAACCCTGCAAACCATGTAACTCTTGCTAATATCTACGGTGATGCTCATAGATGGAAAGATGTGGCAAAGCAGAAGGTTGCGATGAGGGATACTGGTTTTAAGAAACTGCCAGGGCATAGCTCTATTGAAGTTGACGACCATGTAGCTGAGTTTTATTGCTTTGATGAGAGACATGCCAAGACACATGCTATATATGGAGCTTTGAAAGGATTGATGAAAACATCAATATCTTGTGATACTTCATGGAATTTGATAAATGAACCTTGATCAAGTTGAACATGCCCGTTATAGGAAAACCCCATGTTTGGTTTAAACCACATTCTCCTTCTTTCAAGGTTAGATGCATTTTTATTTGAAGCTGAATTTCAGTTTTTTTCATATTTATTTATATTTCTCAAGGGAGAAAATTACATTTCCTTGGTTTGAATTTTGAAAGTTGAAAAATATTCTTATCTCAAGGTTATGTACTCCCACAGGTCTTATTTATAGGCGACGGATTCCTAAATATGTCTTTTTTTTTTTTTTTTTCTATTATCCATGCATATTTAACTTGTTTTTGTGGTTTTCCACCATTGTCCATATGAAATGAAGTCTTGACGAAGGAGCCTCATGTGTTATTTTATATATGTGGGTGCAGATTAAGTGGGTACTTGGCTTCACAAGAAGATTGTCGACCCTCTTCTCTAAATCCTCAGTAGGTATTATCTCCCCCTTTTGGAAATCTGAAGATTCGCAGTAAGATTAGTAAGGAAGGAAATATAAGGTTTGTTAAATCTGCACATTTCAATGAATGAATGATTATCTTTGTTATGGGGAGCCGAACTGAAGCAATTAGCATTCTCGGGTGCACTTGGCATTACGTTAGAAATCTTCCTCATTTGTGGTATGATCTACAATCTCTAAAAAAGAAATACGGCCTTGAATTAGTTTCCTCAATCTCTTGATTCAAGTCTCTAGATTCTCATCTTTTAGTTTTTTGTAAATTTCAAATCCCTCTTGATTAATAATTTACTTATAACTCTTTTCCTCCAGACTTTGGATTCTAGGAAATTAGGTCGCTTCATGGTAGTTGAGAGTTGGATTTGGATGCAGTCCAGACTGAAACCGATCCTGAAACAGCCCCCCCATAAACCAGGACCTGCCGTCCCCTATTAATTTGAACCAGACATGGACCCGTGTTTGAAGTTTTGAACCGTCTTGGTCCTATGACCGATTTGATGGCTGTTGATCCCAGACTGGTCCCAAGACCTGCAGTTGCAGTTCCTGGCTGAGGCCGTGTCCTCCGACCCCTCCCTATGCCTAGATAAACGATTCAAGGGTCGTGTTTCAATATTTTGAAAGACATGGACCACATTGAAGAGAAAGAGGGACCAAAATTGCGATTTCTCCACATTGAAGAGACAGAGGAACCAAAATTCAATCAATGCTTGAATTTAGTTTTTGTGCTTCTTTTTTCTGAAAACTCAAAAGAAAAAAAGCAATTGAATTATTTGAATAGACCATATGACTATCGTCATTGGTGTTTGAGTGAACATCAAAGAGTATGGTAAAGAATTCTTGAGCATCAATCATATTTTGTTCGCAGGTGTTACTATATGTCTGTGTGGATTGGCTATTGCATTGCTTGGATCTTTGTGTCATGCTCCAACAGTAATGCTTGCTAACTTTATTGCCACCCCAATTGAATTGAGGTAAAAAGCAAAAAACAAGAGAACCACTATGCCTTTTCTACACTAATTTATTTTCTTGCCTTTTCATTCCCTTGACTGTCATCTTTAGCCTTTGTCGGTGACTTACAATATTTTCCGTACCAATGCCTTTAAACAAGTTGTTTAAACATTGGGATATTATGCTTGCTGAATCCTGTAGGGTCCATTCGGAACACGGAAAATGCCAAAGGAACGAAAATAGGAAGAAAAGTATAAAAGAAAGTTAGAACGGAAATAAAAGAGAGTTAAAAGTTTAAAACTAAATAAATCTATTTTAGATATTTTTTAAATAACAATGGAGCCAAAGGCTCACTATTTTTTTGGCTTGAGAATATGATGCAATAAAGCAAAATGGCTTAATATGCACTTCTTTGTTATGAAACATCAGTCAGTCCATGCAATTTTCGATGCGATTTTCATCACGGGCTATGCGGAAATAGTCTCTCTTGCTTTGATACAGGGGTAAGGCTGCGTACATCCGACCTTCCCTTACCCCACCGTAGGTGGGAACGTTTGTGGCACTGGGGTAATGTTGTTGTTATTGTTGTAGATCTTCTTTGAACGTATTTTTATTTCCATCAAATAAAGACTTAGAGTACTAGAATTAAAAAAAAAAACAAATTTCATTTATTTTTGCAAAGATTTTCTTCTGTCTTGATATGGTTTTCAGCTACTAATATGAATTTGTGTCCCTTTTACAAGATAATATTAGGGGTAAGTCATTTGTTATCGAATAGTTAGAATTAGTTTGCTAGCTTATTAGCTTATATGCATCTTACTTAACTGATGAGGTTAACACACCATTATATTCTCCTAATAGATCTTGACTGGTTGACTTCTCATCATATCTTATGGGCTAATCTCTGTCAATGCATGCATCATTTGGGTACAAGTATGCAGTTTGATAATCCCATTCCTGCGATTGGAGAATCAATTACTGGCGGCTCTCATTTTTCTTTGGCGGCTCTCATTTTTCTTTGGCGGCTCTCATTTTTCTTTGACATCAGATGCACTAAAGAGGTTTTCACCGGTGAAGCTTCACATGAACTCTTGCTGAGTATTTTACGTGCGGTAAGTACATACATTATACATACCTTAATTCTCATTTTCTCTTACCTTTTCTTTCTCTTTGATGTCTACATTTCTTAACTGGACCTTTAGTTTGCATGCTTTATTTTGTAACTGGGAACATTGTTCTATCAACTTCTTGAAACATAGTTTATGCAATTAAGTTTTAACTAGGAATTGAGCGGGAGAATTTTCTCCACGGGCTTTTACGTATAAGATAACGGACTAATATTTGAGCGGTAGAATTTTCTCTCTCATATAACCTTTTAAATGGGCCTTAACTAGAAAAAGCATATCACGTAAGTATATCACTATCATCATGGATATGTACGAGGCTTGTACTACAAGTGTCCCTACTAGTGTAGGGAGAACCACAAAGTTCCCTATTACTATCGGAGTGTACCAAGGATCGGATCTGAGTTCTTTCTTATTTGTTGAGTCATGGATGAACTTACTAAATCAACTCAAGAAGATATACCATGGTGCCTGATGTTTGCCGACGATATTGTATTGATTGATGAGACACAATCAGATGTTAAAGCAAAATTGGAAGTATGGCGACAAACTTTGGAGACCAAGGGTTTGAGACTGAGTTGAAGCAAGACTGAGTATATGGAGTGCAAGTTTGGTAGAGGTAGAAGTAGTAGCAACAGTGGGATTACTCTTGATGGTAAGGAGATACCGGTGTGTGATATGTTTTGTTACTTGGACTCCATAATTCAGAAAGATGGTGAATTAGATGGAGATGTATCCCATAGAATCAGAGCTGAGTGGATGAAATGGAAGAGTGCATCAGGATTCAGGATTTCTATGCGATCGAGGTATGCCGACTAGACTGTAAAATAAATTTAATCGAACAACAATTAGGCTTGCATTAATGTATGACGTAGAGTGTTGAGCGGTGAAACAATGTCACATTCAAAAGATGAGTGTGGCAGAGATGCGTATGTTGCGTTGGATGTGTGGACATACCAGAAAAGACCGCTTGAGGAATACGACAATCAGACAAAAGGTGGGAGTAGCACCTATAGAAGATAAGATGCAAGAGTCTTGTTTGCGGTTGTTTGGGCATGTGTGTAGAAGACCGAGTGATGCACCTGACCACCTGTTAGACAACTTGAGGGGTGGGGAGAAGAGATAGAGAGGAGAGGGAGAAGAAGACCCAAACAGACCACCTGTTATGCGTCTTCTTGGGTTGAATGAGAGTATGACTTTGGAGAGGGCAAAGTAGAGGGCGCGCATTCGTGTGGACGATTGATATTTTTTCTTTTTTCCTCTCTCTTTATCTTTTCTTTTCTTTTATCGTTTATCTTCTTTGTCTTTTTATGTTCTTAGGTTATTTTTATCTTCTCCCTTTTTTATGTTTTAATCTTTTTATCTTTCTTATATTTTAATGTCATTGTTATCTTATATTTATTTTTCCATCATTTGCAATGGAGCCAAAGATTCATTATTTTTTTGCTTGAGAATATGATGGAATAAAGCAAAATGGCTCACTAAACTGCCTGCGCTAACCCGCTTCTTTGTTATGAAACAGCAGTCAGTCCATGCAATTTTGGACGCGATTTTCACTATGGGTCATCCGGAAACAGTCTCTTTGCACTTTAGTACAGGGGTAAGACTGCGTACATCCGACCCCCCCTTACCCCACCGTAAGTGGGAGCCTTTACGGCACTGGGGTAAATGAAAATGAAATGAAATGTTATCTTATATTTATTTATCTTTATCATATTCGTTTTATGGAGCCAAAGACTAACTATTTTTTTTCTTGGGAATATGATGGAATAAAGCAAAATAGCTCACTAAACTGTCCGCGCTTCTTTGTTATGATGTAGCAGTCAGTCTATGCAATTTTCGACGTGATTTTCACTATGGGTCATTCGGAAACAGTCTCTCGGTGCTTTAGTACATGGGTAAGACTGCATGCGTACATCCGACCCCCCTTACCCCACCGCAGGTTGGAGCCTTTGCCCTTTGAGGCATTGGGGTAATGATGATGATGATATCATATTCGTTTTATCCTTTTTTTTCCTTCTTGTCTGTTTTCTCTTTTTGGCATCGATATCATGGATCGATTCATGTAAGCTGACCCCAAAACCTTTTGGGATTAAGGCTTGGATGTTGTTGTTGTTGTTGTTGTTGTTGTTGTATAACCTTTTAGGTATAAGATAAGAGGACTAATAAGTGAGCGGGAGAATTTCTTCTGTAGTGCTTATAGGGTTAAAGATCATTTAATTATTAGTATGTCACATATCCAACAGGTAGATTTCAACTACAATATGGTTCGTAACAATAGATAATTGAGCGGGAGAATTTTCTTTGTTATATGTAGTGCCTGTGCTTTTAGGTATATAAAAAGATAAGAAGATAATTCAAAGCATAGCCATCTAGGGAAAAAGTAATTTTATAAGTTTACGGGTTGCTTATGACATTTAAAGGTGGAGCATCACTTTTAATACCGTTTACACCTTGTATGCATTTCACTAAACAAGGGTTAGTTACACGGTTACACCCACCACTCCTTGCCTCCTTGGTGTGGTCCATTTCCAAATGACCTTCAAGTTCCCAGAAAATTAGAAATAAACCCCTTGACCAGTTAGATTTTTCTCAGGTGATGCTGAAAGATGATAACATGTAATTGATATTAGCAAGAATTTCATTTTTGGATTAGAAATGAAAGTTGGGGGCACATATTTTAATTGACGAAATGCAAGAAGAAACACACCAAATTCAATATTAAGACACACCATTCTTGTTAGTGTCATGAATGCCTGATTTCCCTTGAACTTCCAACGTTAAACAAAATCTTATTGTTGAAATCAAACTATCACATGACTTATTTGGAACTTTTAAACCACCAAGGTTGTCAGGAAATTTGATAAAATCTTGGGGGTAGATGTAATTAACCCTCTAACTTAAACGCCAACCAAGCTTTGAAGTTGAAAATGATAAAGCAGCTTAAACAATAAATTTGAAATTCGGCTATCAAATTAAGCTCCCAGTTGATGCATAAAGCATAATTCATTTGCATTTTACAGCAGACTAAGTTGTGTTAATTTGGGCAAATCATTAATTGATGTGTTGATGGTTGTTGTGCAGTTGTTGGGATGGATTGTGGCTGCACCATTCATTCTAGCAGGCCTATATATACTCTTCTTGCCATGTTTTGCAATCTTGGTCAGTAAGACAGTAATTTGAGTGGCACAGCTCTTCCATCTTCCCCCAAGATCCCATTAATTCAACCCCATGCTGAACTAAAGGTCAAGGTGAGATATGTCTGATCAACAAGGGTAAGGGAAAGTTTGTTGCATAGGCAAAGCTAATGAATCTCATCTTGTTACCTTTGCTTGTAAACAGAACTCTGGAGAGTCCTATTTATGCATGTATATATGTGCCAATATTTGATGCATATTTTGCTAATAATTTGGACGGAGTGCTCCCTCTGTATCCATAGAAATATTCATGTCTACCCAATGCATAACTTTTGAGTTTAATAACCAAACTTAGGGATGTTAATTATACTCGTATAGTCGTATCAATGGATAATTATACAATACACTCCGTACGTGGTATGATGGTAAATTGGTAATGAAAACCAATAAAATACTGAAGATAGGGACGGACCCGGATCTGATCCGGGAAGGTTGAAGCTCGTAATCGACCCGGATTATATGGGTCCCGGTCTGGTCCCGGCTACTTGGCTGGTCCCGGGTCTGGTCTTGAGCTGGTTAGGGCGGTGTACACACTTTTTTAGTTTAATAATATAAATAACAAATGCTACACATTAAAAATGAAATTTAGATTTATTTGAAATGTTAAATTGACTTGGAGGAGTGTTAGACATTATATATTACAATTGAGAATAGTTTAAATACTTCCTTATTGTCAGAACTCCCGCTATCATCGATTGTCGTTTCCTTCATGAAGTGCTGGTCTGGTTCTATGTTAACTTCTTGAGTTCTATGGCAGACTTTCAACAAATCGTGGAAGCAAATAAGTGTATCAAGAGACTGCGTGCTCAATCTCGTTCTATAATCAGTCGTGAAGTTGTCAGTTTTGCTTAACTCTTTTTCCACGACAATAATTGGAATCGACATTGAAAACACTTGTTTCGTCATTTTTATAAGATGGGCTACATCCCATTGCGGTCCTTCCACCATTGGAGAATGTCAAACTTTTCCCTTTTAACATGAAATGTTAAATATAAAGAAAACTTGTTAATCGAGCTTTGTGTAACGACAAAGTAGATTTACCTTTTCTCTCTCTCAAAAGATTAGATATTATAGATTTTAAAAAAATCCTTTAAATGAAGAAGTAATTGGTTTTGAGAGCGAGAGCACGTTAGTATATTGTGCATGAAACTTATTAAATAAATTAAGAAATAGTTTACAAATCTCGTTGAATTGCGCTTGAGGATCTATAGTGTTGTTATCATACATAGGCAAGTCATCGTAGAATGAAGTATAATAGTATTCTAAAAAATGTTTTATAAGTAGCAATTTTGAAATGGGGATAATGTACGAAAGTAATAATAAATATAGGCGGAATGTACACATAATATTTTAAAAACGTTTCTTTCATGTAATCACAAAAATAAATATAAGCGGTTTGAGATTTTTTTTGGGAAGTATTGAGAGATTAATACCTTCAATAAAAAAAGGTTAGTCGTAGGTGTATTTTTGCTTATGCTTAAAAAAATGTTTCTCGGCTTTTCGTTAAAAAGGCTAAAAAGAGTGTTTTCAAGTGACAATTTCTACTTAAAAAAAGCGTTTCTCGACTTTTGGCTGAAAAATATTTTTTTACTTTATCTATTACACAAAAGGCACTTATTTTACCAAACACGATCAACTTTTACTTTTCAAAATCACTCTTTTCTTAAACACTTTCAACTTTTTACTACTCATCACTTTTTCCAGCATCATTTAAAGTGTTTTTTTAAAACAAAAGCATTTGCAAACACTTTCTTAGTCTAGGCCTTTATCCGTCCAAAATCTCGTAAATCTAACACAAATTTAAAAAATTAACGGGGTCTTTGCACAACCACACCATTTTGTCAGAAGCGTATACCATACAGCTGGTTGTACGGCTGACACCGTACAGCCGGTGACAGTTTTGTAATTTGATGAAATATAGAGATGTGTTTGTTTTTAAAGTCCTATGTTTTCTTCTACTTCTTCTTAATGTATTTTCATCATCAAGAATATTACGGAAAGGCATATCTCCAAAAAATAACAAAACAAGAAAAAATTGTTACTTGAGTTATGGTTTCCAAAATACATTAAGGGTTGGTTTGCAACTGCTTTTAAAAAAGCACTTCTCAGCTTTTGGCTTTAAAAAACACTTATTTTCCCAAACACTACAACTTTTATTTTTCTCGGCTTCCGCGTCAAAAGTGCTTTTACTTTTTCTATTACACAAAAAGCACTTATTTTACCAAACACTACCCACTTTTACTTTTCAAAATCACTTTTTTCTTAAACACTATCAACTTTTATTTAATCACTTCTCCTCATTTCATTAAAAAAAATACTTTTTTAAAAGCAGAAGCTGTTGCAAACAGACCCTAAGTAATGGTTAGATGATTAGGTAAAGTTCAACATCTCTATATTTGATTTGATGCACAACGATTGTGCAGCTTAAGGATTGTCAATTGTGAGGGAAAAGTGGGCTCCAGCCCAGCCCAATTTGTTTTTGTTAGTATAGGTATAGATTTTGTTATCAGCCCACCCCAAAATTAATTCTCAACCCACAGGCCACAGCTCAGCCCCTGACTTTAGAAGAAGATCGGAAGAAAGAAAATCGAAGAACCAAGAGCTTGGCAGCTTGTGACGACCGGCGCTCCAACCTGTGACCTGCGACCCTTCGCCGTCCACGCCGCTTCGTCTTCGTCCATCCAGACTCCAGCGTCCTTCCTCTCTCGCCTCTCAGCTCTTCCTCCATCTCTGGCGCAGGTGAGTTTTTTTTTTTTTCTTAATGTATTATTTTGTGGTTGTGTTAAGACTGTTAACTTGTATTATTATTTTTAGCCTTTAGAGTGTTAGGGTTAGTCCGTTAGTTAATCAATTTAATTATTAGTTGAATTTTTCAGTGCATAATAAAACAGGGCAAAAATTCACCATAGATTTATAATGATTGAAGATGGAATTAAATCTTAGAGAATGATTTATTGATTACTCAATTGAAGAGAATGATTTATTTATTGTGTGGGCTTGTAAGAAAAAATTGAAAATTTCAATTGAATTTTGAAATTGAGAATACTTATTAGTTTTATGTACAACGATTCTTTTATCTTATTACTTTAAAATTTTATATTTTTTTAGAAGTATTTTAATTCATATCAGTATTGAAAATGTTTTTTAGATTGGATTCTCTTCAAAGAGATTTTGTCAACAATATAGATGTAGATTCTATTATTGATGAATTTTATACTTTGAAGTCGCGTAGGGCACAATTTAAGTGTTGTTTTGATGACTTGAGGTATTATTATGTATGTGTCTTTCAATTTTTTTTCCTGAACCCACCCCATTGTAACTTTCTGGATCCGCCCCTGATTTAGTTCATAGTTTATTTTGAAATCTTAGAACAAAATTAATGCTCAATAGGATGTATAGTTCTCACGTATCATGTTTCAAATACAATGAACATGGATCTAAACAAGAATCTTTATTAATAACAATTAAACGAACAAAGAAAAATGACTTCTCATTTTATGCCTTTAAATTGAACCTTATTCTTAACATCATCACATTATTTTCTTTACACTTAGTTTACCAATTTTTTTTGAAGCTGGCTGCTTAACATGCCAATTCAAATATTCATGAAGGTACCTACAAGCAGAAAAACAATTAAATGGTCCAAAGAAAAACCACTTTTTACCTATCACTAAATCACTAATAGTAGAAGACTATCAGTGATGAAATAAATAATCTCTAAACAAATTCTATTCTTTGTTTTTATAAAAAATAGTGGGAACTGGGAATCAAATTTAGATTTTCCACTCATTTTTCGTAATACGTAGTAAACATAGAATCATTTTTAATATCAATTAGTTTGTTGCAGAAAGAAATATCAATTAATTTGTTTGAATATATTTATACAAATTCGGCATATTTATATCATTTTAACTAAATAGACGTAGATATGTACCAACTCATCAACAGTGCATTGGGCACAAGTCGCACGTAGTGCGTATACCGCTAGTAAATATGATAAAAAAAAAATTGATTAGCTTATGAAAATATACTAACACATTGCAAATTTTCTCCATGATGTCTACTTTAACTAGTTCATTAATATAGTTACAAGTTTCTTTAAAAAAGCAGAAAATGATCATTAAATCTAAGAAGCACATAAATTAATTTATAAGTACTACACCAACGAATATATAGATCTTTAGGAAAAGTACGATGTTTAACACGTTTAGCTTTCAAATAAGCACTCATTGCAGTTTAAGTTGAGTACTAGCCCAAATAAGTCTAATACTCTAATATCCTTCATAACTTTGTTCATCACATTTCTAATGCTGTTAAGCAGTCTTTCACATATAAATTAATAGTATGACATGCACAATGCTGATGAAAAATTTAGTCATCAAAGTAGAAGAGGCGCATAATTCATGCAATCCAAGTATAACAATAATGAATGGCACCAATATTAGTCCTCAACTTTGATGGGTCAAAAATATGACCGAAATCCACTTAGACAAAAAAGTACTCCATAATTGATTAAGCCCATGTCGTTCTGCTTTTCCTTTCGTAGATAGAGTAATTCCACAGAGCAGAACACATCTCCGCACTCCCTCAGCGAACAAAGCCGACACCATCGCCTTCTACAGACAAATCCGCCGCCATCGCCCTCCGCTGTCAGATCCGCCTCCATCGCCCTCCACTGTCAGATCCGCCGCCATCGCCCTCCGCTGTTAGATCCGCCTCCATCGCCCTCCACTGTCAGATCCGTCGACATAGCCCTTTGCTGTCAGAGCCGCCGCCATCAGGCGGACAGAGCTGCCGTTAGAGTCTTCGCCATCTTCGCCACGTCATCTAACTGCAGACGATGAGTCTAATTTGGGGCTGGCGCTGCTGCTGGTGTCCAATTGTGGGGTTGCTGGTGTCCGATTGGGGGCCGCTGTTGCCGGTGTGGCCCGATTTGGGGCCGCCGCCGCTGGCGGCGGTGTTATGGCAAGGATTTTGGTCGCACTGGCCGGAGATGGACCTGGTGGAAGACAGGGACAGGGTAGGGGAGCAGTGGAGGGGGGCTGGGGACAAGGGCTGGCAGCTGGGGAACTGATGTGTAGGGCTAGGGGCTGGTGAACAGCGGCGGCGGCAGCTTGGGCTGGGTTGCAAGATGGCTGTTGTGTTATTGTTGGCAGCGGGACTGCGTAGTGTTGTTCTTGTTGGGCTGGGTTGCGGGCCGGGGAGAGTCGTCGGTGTGGCGGCTAGCTGGTGGCGGCTAGCTGGTGGCTGCAGACATCCATTTCACTAAGCCTGGCCACGTAAAAAACGACCGTAGTGACATGTTT